GTAGTGGCCACTTATAAGATGTTACTGTGATTAGAGTCCTAAGATGAGCAGTGATCCAATCGTAATACAATATCGATACAGTTGTTACAATTCGTATTAACTGTCTTTGAGACAATATAATATTTGGCTAAGTTATCAGGTAGATATAATAAAATTAAACAAACGAGACGCATAGTTCGTTAGGTTTTCTGATTCGTTTCGGTACTAAAAAACTTATATTTCAATGGTGAGTGGTTTAACGTAGGACTCAAAATACAACTAGTGAATTTTTCGGAGGGATATGATTACAGGCGTGATATGATTTTAGTATATTTTGTTTTTCTGTAACTAAAGAAACAAACTTTATTACTTAGGTTTATCGTTTTTTGGGTACGTATCGTAGAACTTAGGTTTTTGTTATTTGTTATGAACTATTTTATGGTAATGTGTAAAATTGTAATCAAATTTCTGTTATATCTGTAAACAAAATTAAGACTGCCATGTTGACCAAGTGGTCGCAAGTGCGACTGCCGGGCAAGGAGTGTCGGGATCGAATCCCGTTTTTAAAAACTCTCAGTGGTAGCACGGAGTCTGGAATTATGCCCGGTATATGGCAACAGACTTATCCCTTACATACACATCCACATCCATTACATGGGACTCACAACACAACATAAATAGTGAAAAGTGGGTGTTATATTGTACAATGGCCTTAAGTGCCGTAATGTGCACCTCTGCCTGCCCCTTCGGGGATAAAAGGTGTGATGTTTTGTTATGTTGTAATCAATTTTCCTTTGGAAAACTCTATTTTTATTATTTGTTTATTATTAAACTGTGTTATTTAAATAATCACTACCACTCAATTTCTACGTACATATTTCTTATTTAAAAATAATCCTTATCGGATTGTGGTGGAAATATTCTTCATGTGACGATTTATAGTACGGAAAAGAATTGAGAAAATAGTCATATTCTAACTTAAGTAAGTAAGCATAAAGTTGCTTTTACGATACTGTGTATTATGTTTTCTCGAATAAGAGGCTAATACACAATACACAATAATATTATTATCGAGTCATTGACCCACTAAGTAGACAAAAATAGTAGGTTTGTCAAAAGAATATTCTTTAGCCTATATCTTTTTAAATGGGACAAACCCGCCACAACCTCCCAAAGCCACTGCAACTCCTGTAAGCCAGGATCTACAGTCTACACAACCAAGAAAACACCGGACATGAATAACTGCCTTGGATCTCGTAACAAAATAAATTAGAACATAAGAGTAGAGAAGAAGAAAAAAATGTCAGTTTTCACTTCCCTCGGTGAATTTATACCGGAGACAGAATGACTTAAATCTAAATGCACAAATGAGACTGTACGATTGGGAGAAGCCCAGTTGTCAAGCACCATGGAAAATTTTACTGAAACTGAATGGGTCCTATGTATGTGTTTTTATACTTACTTCCAATAATATGTATGGCAAAAACGTCTAAATGCACGGAATTATTATCTACAAAATCTTTCATATTTATCCTATAAATATAATGACGTAAAATTATATGACAACAATTTCAAATTATAAAACTTAACCCGTTAAAAACTCGTATCTTTCACCCACCCACCTACATCTGTGGTATTGATTTTCAAAACCCAAAAAGAGCACCATATGAGTGCAAAAAATCAATATCGCAATAGTCAAAGTGAGTTAGAATAAGTGGGGTAATAGTGGCGCGGTGCATTGCAACTGGCTACGGGCTCCCTTACCCTGCCCGGTGCGGTGTAGGGCTGGCAGAGCGGAAAAATATTTCGAATATTTTGTGTTTGTGATTTATTTCTTTTTGAGTTTTTTTTTTATTTTTGTAAATTTGCCTACTGACTACATTTACTGAAAAAATCTATGTAGTGATTGTTTCTTAACAATGTAGATAAACCTCTCCTGATTTCTACAATTTTCGTTTTTAAGTACAGACGTAGTTTTCCGCGTTAATCGTAGTTACGAAGTCATTGGCAAGACTCGTTGGTAGATATTCAATAAATATAGTTCGTTTACATGTCTAATATAAATGGAATTAATAATTAGAAAGGTAACTAATACATTCCGTAAAGGCACAAAGTTTGGACTAAAAAGTTTTGTAGAATATATGTATATGCCTAATTTACACTAGTACCTAGTGCCCCAATTAATAATTACTGAAACTTATTTTTTAGACAACAGTATGAGTAAAAGATAGTTTCTAAAACAAGGTTTGCGCAAATCTAATTAATATACCTGCACTGTACAGTAAATTTATAAAGATTCTCCTAAAAATATTACACTGGTACTCTACAACTACAGAAAATTGTTACCATACCGGTGCTATCAATGTCTACGACTAACCTCACTGCTTTAGAAGTAAAATTAATATTTGAATAAAATAACGTTCCCTTTATAAACATGTATAAAATAAATAAATGATATATTTGAAATATTCCGTATTTTTTTGTTTGTTCAGTATTTGTTTTATTATAACAATAAAAACGTTTATTTGCACAATTTTCCTCGTTGTGATAACCCTGCATCAAGAGCTCTACCGTGTCGAGGGCTATCGCTCGGTGTATCGAGCCCTCGCATGCGAACACGTTCCCAACGTTCCACGGTAGTATTTATTTTAAATACACCATTTTTTTTAAATAAATACGGTAGTGCATTTTTTAAATAATTTTCTTTTAGTTTTTCTTAGTAGTTGTTATTTGAGTGTTTAGTTTCTTAGATAAAGCTGTTGGGTTTTGTTGATTGCTTGCTTACCTAATTGTATTATTTTTAGGAAGCGATGTACCCATGATATCAACCCTTTCCCTGCATAAAGATTAAACAAGGTATCGTAGTCATTGTTAAACAAAAATTGATTTCATTGACTTTGAAGTATAAACTAATTTACTTTAAATATCAGGCAAAGATATAGGAACGGGTATGGTCATTGGTCACTATTTAAGAGAGTCATTCATACATTTGTTGGTTTACTTTTTCAAGTTATACGGTAAGCACTTTTTCAAAAAAATATTTTCGCAATCCTCTATTACTTTGTTCTATACCGTTTGTGATATTTGTTAGTACTTATTATTAATATTGAGAACACCTATTAGGATCTATTATTTCATCTAATTTTAGGTAACACTCAATTGTTACAAAAACAATGCAATAAAATAGATTTTTATATTGTAACACAAAATGTATTTCTACGTCACATTTTCATTCGTGTTACTTAAGAGACAGCCCTAAGTTAAGGGCTCACAGAGGGTTATCACGGGTTGAATCGCACCCTCGACACGATCGCGATGTATGCACCCGCCAACCCTGCCGCTAGTAGGATACGTTTCTTCATTTATATTACATCTTTGTTGCTTTCAACAGCTGATGTTAGTGTTTGATATTCGTGTTAGAAAAGTAAGGTTCGCCATTTGGGATTTTTTTGATAGGTTCAAATTGTGTGTTTAGTGGGAGTAGGCTAAATAATTCTGAATGTTATTAGAAATCAATTGAGTTAGACAGAACTTAGGTTTTATTTTATGAAGAGTATATGAGTCAGTTCTTTTATAAGTGAATGTCTATCCTGCTGGTATGTTCAAGATTTCGAATTGTTGTTTATAAGAGTTTGTATGTTGTGTGTAATACTTTAGAATGAAAAACTATTACAATCCATGTATTTTTTACATTAAGTTTTATTACACTAAAAGTTCTGATTATACCTAATTTAAACCAGCCCAAAAAACATTGTTCCATTCCACAGAAATAAAATTAAAAAAATAATAAATTAAAATCATTTCACATAAATCCACAAACAAGGTTGAAAATAGAAGGTAAAATAAGCGACATTTTAGCGGCCCATCAGATACGAGTGAAACAATTTAGCGCTATCAGATGAGGGAGGCGTTATACGTGAAATCGGCCGCACCTCACCTGAATTAAACGTTTACGTTAATTATACGGTACGGTTAACGTTTTTAATGTTGACTTATTACGGTGTTGATGTTTAGTGACTTCCGAGTTTGCGTTTACAGATTTTTTTGTAGTATCGATGAAGTTGTTGTCTTTGGGATATATTTGTTTCAGTTATTTGATGGTTTGACAAATTGTTTTGTATTTATTTTTATATTTAAAGGAAAATGCTTTATTTGTATGCAAGCTTAGAGTATTTAGTATACAAGTTATAGTCGTCAGGTCCCTAAAGTTATTTGTTTCTCTATTGTTGGAGTTAGAAATAATATTATTTAATAGTTTAAAGAAAGGTTAAGCATGTGATACGTTTTTAGTTTACAAGTTTAGTTAAACTTTTATTGTGTTTTAATATTTTACCAGCTGCATATTATTTTTACAATATCAACTTATTTTAAGTAACAGTTAAAAGAGGTATTTTTCGAGTTAAATACTACTTCTATTTGCGTATAAAATTGTCATCAGAAAACTATTACGATTAAGTAAGAACTCATCTTACTTATTCTGATCCAAGTTGCTATGACAAATTACGAAATTATAGACGTCTGTAACATACATTAAATTCTCATAAGTATTAGTTCAGTCGCTACTGCCTACACTCGTACAATTAAGGGTAGGTAATGTGTTTAGCTTCGCGCCATTACGTATTCTGTATCCGACCTAATGTCGCGGTTATGTGCAGACTCGCTCATCTTATTGACGTGATTCGATTACCTCAGATATGCCAAACGAGGGAGGAATACAACCTCTCGACAAACAAACCGAATCAACCTCAAACCTAACATACAACGTTAACACTATCCAACTCATCAATATTTAACAACACACATTATGAAAGCATTTCGTGAAATGGTTTTACGAGCGTGGGATTTGTGCGTAAACGATATCGTTTTAATCTTGAACACTTCTTCAGTTTTTTCGCTGAACACCGCTGAAATAATAATGCCGTATATTCCCATAAATCGTAAGTAAAATCGCGTCCAACGCGTCGACTTACAAACTATAAAGTTTACGGAATATAAACCTTTGTAATCAAGTGGCCACTTACCACATCGGTCGGACGAGGGCCGACATCACTATAAAACGGAGGGGCGAGTCCTCATTGCGCACTAAAGTTTTTATTTATTTATTTATATTTATTCACGAACTCACTGACTATTTAAATAATATAAAAAATCACTGCACTAAAATGCACTTGCGACTATTAAATTTCGACGCGTAGCATACCGGAGTTCGTAGCACAGCGTAGCGCGTCTACGACGGAAAAGTTTATCCGTAGGCCGTGGTCGGGCGGCAGCGAACGCAGGAGCTCGCTGCGCGGTGCGGGTAGCTCGCGGAGCGCTATTCGCGGACTATGCGGAGGTCGGCAGCAGGCCGGGCTGGCGGGGAGGGGCGCGGGCGCGGGGTGCGGGGGCACTGCGCGCGCACGCCGCCGCCCACGCCGCCCCGCCCCACACACCCGCAACCTATTTATTTCTAGTTACGTAAAATTTACGCGCAATACCCGATACTGCATTTAGCTTATGTTACGATCTCGTGTACCAGTATATAAGGAGTAATGAAAATGTGGCTCTATTATGAGCCGACTTCCACGCTCCCCCCGAAAAAGACGGCAACATTCATCCGCTGCGCCATACATTCAAGAAAATGCGATACGCAAGGCTATGTAACGGATGGTAGGTATATAAAGAAACATACGCCCTCTCGAATAAAAAGCTTTTAAGAGTTTCGACACCAGCACCGGTCAAATAAAAGGCAGACGATTCAACATTAAACGCCAATCAGTGCATTTCACGCCAGGCCACTTCTGGCCCCAGGCAGGTGAGGCGTGAATTGAAAAAAGAAGTCGCCGCCGGTCGCCGGTCGCCGGGGGGACGACGTCAAATTTGGCAGACGAGTTTTTCAACCGCAGTCGATGGTATCGATGTCACTTAAATGAATTGAATAAACGCGTCGGATGGCCCGAGGTCTATCTGAGGGCCTTTTTATACTGACACAGCTGTCCATCGTGATTTCATCGTTGGTTCAACAAATCCCAAAATGTCTGCATCCTATTTAAAGCTCTCCGCTTACGTTGCTTTCAAGTTATTTCAATAGAATGTGCTCTACTTAGTCAGTAATGTTGACTTTTACAGCCGCAGTTTGTTGTTATGTTACGAGTACATTCGGTACATGAATTAAAGCAAAAGTTCGATAAACTGTGTCGTCACAATCAGCTGTTGGCGCCGCGAGCGCAACAGACAATGCGATTAAGATCTACGCAGGACAACTTTCGCCGGCGCGCCGAGCGGCAGTTAGTTGTTATGAAAGAGAGAAATTTGTAAATTGTTCGCGCCCGAGTTCGCGAACTCCGTCGAACCGGAGTTTGTTTTAAGAGTCCAACCTTGAAACAAGAAGAAAAGTAGTCCTGTAAAACAAAGTTTTGCGGCCGCCGTCGCCGGCGCAAGCGGTTCAAGGATTGTGCCCGAACTGTCTGTCTGTACAACTTTACCGATTAAAAGCTCAAAAGCTTCCAAAGTCATTTTAAAAGTTTATCTGCACGCGGGCGCGGTGCGCGGGGTGGCGGGCGGAGCGTAGGCGCCGGGTTCGTTATCATCCCACCGCAATACTTTAGTTAAAACCTAGTTTAACTTATTTATAAATCGGCGGTCGTCGGCCGCGACGGGCCTCCTTCCGAATTAAACTGTCAAACTTGTGAAGATGCGTCGTCGACGTCGACGGACGCGCGCCTGCCGCGCGGCTTCTCACGACATGTGTTCGCACCGCCGCCGAATACTTGCCAACGTACACACTAAGTTCCTAGACCCTTCGCTACTTTGTTTTACAGCTGTTCCACTTAGCGAACTATGCCTCGAGTTGGGCGCGAGTTCTTGCATGTGTATTGGCGGCACACACCCGCATCCGAATAGTTTCATAAACATAACCCAACTTAGTTTTGGACGACTTTTCAAAGTCAATGCATACTAACTTTCGATGTCTGGGAGTGCGATATTACGATTGGATCAGTTTGCGGTGACTTTAATGCATTCGTTTGTTCGAACTTTGTTTTATTGGATCAAACTTCGCAACAAGGTTAAATAACTGTCTTTGTTTACATTTTTTTCGCGGAATTAAAAGTAAATGGGATTATCAAAAGTTTGATATTAAGTTTGTCATATGTTTTGATTGTTAAGGTCGTGTTTTGTTTTAAAGGAAATGTTTAGTCATGACTTTTTGAGCTCTAACTTCTGCTGGCTTGAGTACATAATTGTATATAGTACGATGACATAAGTCCTATGTATATTATTTTAATACTCGGCTCTATATTTATAACTACTTGTATGTGGATCGCTTGTATTGACAGCTGTTGTAAAACTTTTCGGTGTTTGGCTGTAGGTACATAGGTACAACTATAAAATTATGGTGAACAGTTGCACATTTTATCTACGTTGTTAAAACACTGGGGAAAGTAAACGGAGTTATAGTAATTTGTTTAAACATAATCATGAAATACGACTATTAACACATTGGATGCCGTGTCGGACAATGATGTCCGACGCTTAATCTTTATATATAGGATTAACCTTTATTTCATAGTTTTTGTTGACAGTTAAAGACTTAACTTAGTTTCTAAGTACTTGACTACAGAAATAAAATCATCATCGTCATCAGTCCGTGTGCGTCTAATTCTGAATATAGAAAACTTCAATAGTACGTCACTGAGCTCGTCCTAAGACGTGTGATTATTGTCACCATCCCTTCTCGTCTCACGGTACTGGTATCGGTTTACATTTTATGGAAAACGGATACCTGAATTATTTAAATTACCAAACCTATTTATGTAGAGGAGGTCAATAAATGATAACATAACAACACGCCTTTTATTCCCGCAGGGGTAGAGAGAGGTGCACAATATCTACGGCACTTAATGCCACTGTACAATGTAACACCTACTTTTCACTATTTATGTTATGAGTCCCATGTAATAGGGAGTTAGCCTATTGCCATATACCGGGCACAATACCATACTCCGTGCTACTATTGATAATAAAAAAAAAGCCCATTTATACTTTAATAGACCCCTTGCCGGCAGTCGCACTAGCGACCACTCGGCCAACGAGGTAGTCAATAAATGATCTCCTACGTATATCTTTGTACGCACTTTTGTCTCTTTTCAAAACGAGTAAATACCTCTGTAGCCGGTACCTAGATAGATATAGGTACAATTAAAAACGAATAATTTCTATCATAAATTCCTAAACCTTCTGTTCCACATCGAAAAACAACACGGCACCTACATTCATAATCAGTGTAATTACAGAATCTCAGTCGGAAAGTCACGATCAACAGTCAAGTGCGAGATAAAGCTGCCATAGCCCTCCGAGCGATGTATTTGACACCATTTTTGGATGGCCTCTCATTTTCCTAGAGAACATAACGTATGTGGGAGTTAAAGGAGGTCTGTTTATTATGGCGGTGTTATCTTCGTTCACCAATAAGTCACGCAATAATTACTGGGAGCAGATCACGCTCCCTGTTCTCATATTTATGGGTACCGTCCATAAGTACACGTAAATAAGTGCGATGTAACAATTGTAGCGGTTACGGTTGTATCACTTGTATCTGCCGGGGGCACGCGAACTTACTTTGTTGGTCGTGTTTGTTATGAGACAATGTTTTCTAACGCGGTGGTTTGGTTGTGTGCTTTGTTTTTTGGGTAATATTATTGAACCGACTTTTTTTTGAAGGGGGAAAATCCTCCAATGCCTTCTCCCGCCCGGGTGAGGCGAGACTCTTACTGACTAAAAACCACCCCGTTCCTACTCCTACACTTCGAGCTGGAGCCCCGGCAACCCGGTAAGTAATAAGAGGTTCTCAGTATGAAACAAATAGTTTCATTTCTCTTGTATAAAAGCATTATTTTTATGGATTGTCAGTATGCATATGTTTGAGCAAAATGTTGGACCATATTTTATTTTTAGTTAGTTTTGTAATTTGTGTTATGCTTCAAGCGAGTCGTTACATAGTTCTCACATAGACGTACAATATTGGATAATGTATCGGAGGGATTGTAAAACTGTTTTTGTTTAAAGAGTAACGAATGGCGTTAATTGGTCGTACTTCTCCATTCGAATTTACATTTTGAAATGAGCACTTAACTTCACTGACGAACAGACTGACAGACTATTATTTATTTATATTTGTTGATGCTTTGACTTTGATCTGTGTGTTTGTATGTTTGTGCGATTATTATCTTGCGATTGGTTAAACCGATTTTGATGTGGCTTTCAGAAAAGTGTTTGTTACACGTAGTATAAGACTTTACTACTTTAATAAACCGAATTAAATTTAAAGAAAATGTAATTTTCTTGACTTTTTTGTTTATTTCATTAAGAGGCTCTTACGATAACACTAGGAAAAGTATGTACTTTATTTTTTCTTGTTGGGGTTAGTGCAATTGTATGTACTTTATGCTCTACTAGCTGTTGCCCGCGACTTCGTCCGCGTAGATTAATGACTTCTGACAGAATTAACCAGAATCAATTCAGTGCCCAAGTAAGATTTACCTATTTTGAAATTATTTATCGTAGTTTCAATAAATAAATAATCCCGCAGGGATCTTACCAGTACAGTGCCCGATCACGTAAGGTTTGAGTAATAAAAACTATTCTATCGACTATTGTTGTACTGAATCTCTCTAGAATAAGTTCAGTGGTTAAGAGTTAGAGAGTCCTGGGGCATTGACGCATAGTTCCCGTTCTCGTGAGACATCTGTGAAAAAACTATCATACGTTACCCAAGTCGGTATTTAGTTTTATATTAGGTATTACATTCGGTAAAACGATGATTTGGGACTA